TCTCAGAAGTTAACCAGAGACAGAGGCCCGGTCCACAATACACTGGAGATATTTGAAAACGCAACAATCAGCGGTCGTTTTGGATTTGTGTTTGAGGAAAACTCGGCCAGGGAAATCACATGATTCTCGTGACGTCATCATTTTTGAAAAGCTCCGTTTTCAAAATGTTTTCCGTCCACTCTAAAACGTAAAGCCGGCGCTTTCAAATTCCTTTGGTTAGAAGGTCTAAAAATAATCTGAGAGAGATGACCGTGGGAATAAGGCCCATATTGGGAATTAACTCGCTTTCCTTTCATCTTTTCTTGAAAAAATCATGTAAATCCCTGTACATTGTTACGCGTCCGTTCGCCTGGTGTACAACGAGACAAACTGTCAGACTAACACGTACAAAGGTTTTGTAGGTAATTTGCCTTCATTGACTAGCTTGCTTAGATCAGCGTCGTGTTTCACTAGCCCCTGACGCAGCACCAGAGTCTCTTAAGAAACTAGTTGCTTGACCTGTTCACTTGTAGGGAACAAGCCGACCGTCTCATTACCACGTGCTGTGGGACGACAACAACTTCAAAGCTGACGAGATTCAGGCCCTGACGTACCAGTTATGTCACACCTATGTGAGGTGTACACGAGCCGTGTCTATACCAGCCCCAGCGTATTATGCGCATTTGGTGGCGTTCAGGGCGAGGTTCCACTTGATAGAGAGAGAGAAAGAAAGGTGAGAAACTTTGAAGGAAATAAAAACATGCCTGCATGTAGATTATAAGGGTTCGTCCCGAGTCTGGTATTCTGCCTGTAAGGTAGCACTCTGCAAGGTAGTTTTCAGGCATGGAAGTGGCACCCCTTGTTACCGCCATATCGCGAAGCCAATCTCGACAGGTCTCCAAACATCGTTTTAAAAAAGAACAAACGTTTAAGTTTATTCACGACAACGAGTTTGACTGAAAATAGAACAAAAATAAACAATTATTTACAACATTAGACGGCTGAACGGACAAATCCCGAAAAACACAAACTTACAGCTTTTTCCCGAAATGAATGATTGACCTCTGGTAGACGATGATCGCGAAAAGGAAATTACAAGAACAGCGACAATGACTAGCTCTAATATAACTCGAAGGATGTTAGTTTGACTGTTGCCACAGAATTTAAACTACTAGTCTTATTAACATATTGACCTCTGCGCGCGCGAAAATACCAGATGTCCCGCCGGGCCTATTGTAAGCACAATTAGCAAGAGTGTCACACCCCTGGGAACAGAGATGGTGCGCTTAGGAAAGCTATCTGCTTACAGGAAGTTCAAAATGTAGGGTTTGTTTTTGGCTGGCACAATAAGCAAATGTCCGCTTACGACGGGAGGTGCCCGCGTCTAAGTCAGGTGTCCGTCAGCGTTGGCAATCTCTCCCCCAGTCCCCTCGCCTTTTCTGTCTACGGTGACCAAACGCCTGACGTTCTGATCAATTTCAAAAACCGGAACCAGAAAATCCTGCTTCCGGTTTCATTCTACGCATGCGTGTAAGTTCAATGGTGGTTTTTGCACATCCGTAGAGAGAGTAAGCGCTATGACTAATCCTGGCTGCGATATCGCGGAGAGGTCTCGATTCTTTGTGCTGATCAAAAGAATCGTGACCTCTGGGAACAACATTACGCTTGTGTGTGCATGCGTAGCGTACCGTAAACCGCTGCTTATACGCCTTGGGCTTGTACAACTTCGTAAGGTCTTCTAGATGGGCTTATAAATGGAGGGGCTTATATCCGAGGGAGCTTATGACCGGAATAAAAAGACCGTTTTGAAGCGAGCTATAGCTGCACTTGTTGATCGAAATATCTTTTTCATTTCTTGGTAATTAAGCTTTGAAACATAATATAACGAATTCAAAACAAGGATGTTGCTTGAGGACATTCTCGTCCCCAGAGGCCGCGCTCCTTCCACCAAGAATCGCGACCGCTTGACTGGTCCAACACCGGAATTCCGCGATTCATGGACTTTCCCGTCAAATCTGATTGGGTGATAATGCGAAACGAAAACTCTGCGCATGCTCAGAAAATCGGGGTCGTGATTCGTGCTGCTGACCGAAAAGAGTGGGGCTTCTGGGGACGAGAATGGCTTGAGGGGGAGGGGGCTCATATTTGCGGT